GCGATGAAATATTTAAACAAACTAGTACATACATGTTAGTAAGTTTCACTATTCATAAAGTGTTCATAGACCAAGAGTACGTTTCAATCTTTGAATGGAAGTGCATCTGCTTCGGTTGTTGTTCTGGAATTGACGAATTGATTGAATGAGGTATAGATAATACAACAAAAATGGAACTTGTAACCGATCTCATAGAAGGCCCACTTTCAATCCCGTTCTCCACACATCGGTAGTAAGTTGGATTTTTCGTTCGACAGCATTACTTACAACATTCAACCCTTAATCTCTATACGTTTTTCAGTTCAAGATGTCCGAAATCCAATTCAAGATGTCTGAAATCCAATTTAATATGTCATAATATGAATTTAAGATGTCCGAGTAGCAAGTTAAGATATCATGTTACGATTTTTTTAATCTGTACTGTGTAAGGTACTATCCACATAGCAACATGACATCTTACATGGATACTCGGACATCTTAAACTGAAAAAGGGATAGTTGAAAGGGGTTTTCTGTTGATCCTCACCCATGAGTTCGTCATAAAAGGAAATATGTAATGTATGGCAGTTGTAATGAGGTCATCATTTGATCAATAGCATGTTTGGTCAAATCCTCCAGAAAAGAGCCACAGAGCTCGTGTCGAATAGGTGGCGTACTTTTATGGCTGACAAACCTGTCATCCAAGTATTTAAATAGAGAATGATATGCCTGGTCCAATGTATCAGACTATAGCCTAATCTTCCGAAACAGAACTGAATCGATCGTATGAAAAATCAATGAAGGCGTAGATTGAAACTACAAATATGTGGGTGGTCATAGTTGTTTTTGTCCAACAGTCGATCGAAGATGGTTGAAAAAATCACCACTTATGTGGGTGTACTAAATTGGTGGTTCAAAGAGTCCCAGAATAGAAGTGAAAAACCAAAAATCACCGTTCAATTCTGGTCCCACGCTGTTTAACCGTTACACTCCTCTTTGACATCCCTTTCGACCAATCGTATAGACATGTACGTTCACAGGACCACACAATGTGTGATCGTGGTTACTCTCCCTCCCCCCCCCCCCCCCCCCCTCGCCCTTTATTCTGGATCTACAATTTTCTCTCCTTTCCGCCATTGTCAACAAACCGACCGTCGAAAGACCGATTTCGTTCCCATACACACACAGGCTCATACGAAACCGCGGTATTCATTCACCACCCCTCCTCACACCCCGGTTCATCCGGTGACGCTTGTCATTTTACTGAGTTCAGATTCTCATTGCGCCAAGTGACAGGAAACAAAGATAAGGTTCACCTATCATGTCTATCACACAGTCCCTTGTCCTTCGTTTTAACGGTGATGAGAACGTTGCTTCTCAACGTCTTGACATCGAGTCCCACCCACATCTGTACACAAGATTGGAGCCTGGGTTGAACAACCGAGAGAGAAAGAGGGTGATGAGCGGCATATTAAGGTGATGTTTTATTATACGACCTATTCGAAGAAAGGGGGCGGGGTGATAGGTCGGTTTGCACCAAACCAAGTACAATGAAAAAGCAGGAGGAGGGGGGGAGGGAGAAAGGCGGCAACACATTGCACTCGACTATGTTTGCAAGTTAGAAAGTACAGTGGTGCACCACAGCATTGAATGCACTGATGGAAAGAAAGAAAAGAGTGATGATTGAAAAGTGTTAACTGTTTACTGCGCACGCCAAACAAACGTGGACTAACATTATTTATCCTTTTGTCTCGAACTGTTTTCGAAATGGTCGCTTATTGATTTCTGGTTATGGGGAATTAAACACATTTTTACGTGTGCTATATTTTATGTAAGGGTAGAATTGATTTTACAACCAATATATATGTTTTTTTCATGTCCATTTGCAATCCACATTGGCATAATCAATGGACGATTCCGACAATAACCAGTTCTTCTATTTGGAGTAGTCATCCTTCAAACTTATTCTTTTCTCTCATTCATACACGTGCAATGTCCTGCATATTCACTCTGTGGTGTAACCGGGGTCAGCGTTACACACAGCGCAGTCTGTTCGGGGCAGAAGGTAACCAATTTAATCAGCTATCTGGCTCATCCGTGGGTAACTGTCGTGCACTCTGAGGACTGATGCGATACACTGTGATTGTGACAACCACATTCGTTATCGTCTTGATGACTTTTACCGTGTTACAGATAGCACGTATCATTGTCCGTTAGTCCGTGTACATGTGCCTCTCTGCCGTATTGCAATATTGCTTGACATCGTTTCTCTCCGCAAGCTTTTTGTGTCACAGGACCAATATGTGTGACACTATGGTTAACGAGCATGTGATCCCGGTTCTGGTCTGATTGAAACTTGAATGGGTTTTCCAGTTCGAACACAAGCTCATGCAGAGTTCGACTGTCACATATGCAGGTTGTCTTCTTCGCGCCTGCAGAATTTGTTTGTCAGTTGGGAACCGATTCCGTTGTACGGACTGCTTGAATCGTATGGACCATTTTCTGCACAAGAAACTCACCACTCATCACAAATCTACAAAAAAGTATTTGATTGATTGTACCCATTTTACTCAATGAGCAACCGATCGATTGTGATAGAATGGAACTGATACCATGTTGTTCTTGTTGGTGCAATAGCGCTCGCCTGAGAGAGAGAAGGCGGAATATCGAACAGAGTCACCTATTCTTCTTGTGATTTGTCTCTTACTTGAGCTGGAATCAGCGATGTTCCCCACTCGTGCGAGATTAAAAGCATGACGAAGAACGAAGCAAATTTTAAATCTGAATGAGTATGCATGATCTATTCACGAGCAGTTCACAAATTCAAAGAGATCTTCGCCCATATGTGAACTCCAGCGGTGCTTTCCGTCGACGAATAATCTAAAACTGGATTAACTACAGTTACGTCACTTGGTCCAATTCATCCCACTGTACATGTGTCCGCATTTCACCAGCATTGCGGTCAGAAGAAACAAATAAACAAGAATAAATGATCTAATTAAGTTAGAGTGTGAAAAAAATCCACAGACAACGAATGCTTGTAGATGCGTGAATGTAATTGTTCTCCGGTATTTCTAATAAACCATGGTGTCTTGAACTTTAAACTAGGCAAAATTCCTAGACCCCGCCCAGAGAGCAAAGCGTCATCTGTGCCATTTGGACTGAATCAAGCCGAAAACCAGTTGTCGGTGACTTTTTCGAATCCGCACTGACCTGAACAGTGCAGATTAAGAACGAGGTGTTCAAAGGTATCGCAATCGGTGAATATTAACTAATATCTCTTATGTAACCTAACAACAGAAGAAGATGAAAATACAAGAAAAAAAACGAGTTATACGAGCAATTGCTATAAGTTATTCTCCAGTGCTACAGCTGAACATTTGGTATTCCCACTGGGATTTCGTCCGACCGTGGGACTTGATATCACGGATACTGAATTACTTTAACAGTTCTAAAGCTTCCGTTCCCGGTTTTAGATTGAAAATTTGATCAGAATACCACCTCACTGAGGTGGTTCTTGCCCACAGATGTTAGAACAGGCCGCTAGACAAACCACAAATGAACAATCAAGTCTCCAAACCCGATCAAGTAGACGGTTTAGCTCACTTCAGATAAACAACAATACTCGGTTTATTTGTGTGTGTGTGTGTGTGTGTGTGTGTGTGTGTGTGTGTG